TCACAGGGTGTCTGTTGTGGGGAGGGGAAGGGAAAGGAGTTTGTAAGCCGCTCTGAGACTCCTTCGGGTAGTGAAGGGCGGGTATGAATCCAATCTCTTCTTCTTCTCCTCCTCTTCATGGCACGCAGCCACGTGAGCGACCCACCTGGATCTCCCTTAATGGGTTTGGGCCAAGTGGTTGGAACCTTAAGTTCGCTTCGTAGGCCTGAAGCCACTGGGTTCGTTAATCCCCAGTCCTAAACATTAATCTCAAATTCTCATCTCAGGCCCGGTTTATGTTTTGCATCCTGCAGGGCAGCTGCTGTCGCCTTCTCTCGGTGCTGGCTTGGGAAGTCGCTGGACAAACTGGGGTTTGTGTTGTTAACGTCCTGGCCTGGACAGCTCAGACTAGGGGAGCTGTGGCACAGTGGGTATATCCCACTGTCTTAACATCTGAACTGTGTTAGTTCAAGCCCCGCGCTGGTGTGAGCAGCCGTGAGCGACCCACCTGGATCTCCCTTAACGGGTTTGGGCCACGTGGTTGGAACCTTAAGTTCACTTTGTAGGTCTGAAGCCGCTGGATTTGTTAATCCCCATTTCTAAACATTAATCTCACATTCTCATCTCAGGCCCAGTTTACGTTTTGCATCCTGCAGGGCAGCTGCCGTCGCCTTCTCTCGGTGCTGGCTTGGGAAGTCGCCGGACAAATCGGGGTTCGTGTTGTTAACATCCTGGCCTGGGCGGCTCAGACTAGCTGATCTCCCCGGTTAGTTAGTAGCCTTGCAAACCGCCAAGGAAGTCGAGGGCTGATACGCAGAGGGCAGGCAACGGCAAATCCCCCCTGAACTTCTCTTGCCTTGAAAACCCGACAGAGTCACCTTGAATTGGTGGTGACTCAACAGGACTTCCCACGCCCTGACCCGAACGTCCAAAGCCAGCCTGATTTCGTCAGATCTTGAAGGATAAATAGATTGGAAATGGAAAGTATTATTATTATTATCTCCCCGGTTAGCCTTGGAAACCACCAAGGAAGTCGAGGGCTGCCACGCAGAGTCAAGCAATGGCAAACCCCCTCTGAACTTCTCTTGCCTTGGAAACCCAACAGAGTCACCCCGAATTGGCGATGACTCGAAAGGACTTCCCGCGCCCTGACCCGAATGTCCAAAGCCAGCCCGATTTCGTCAGATCTTGAAAGATAAACAGATTGGGACTTGGATGGGAGGCCACCAAGGAAGCCTAGGGTTGCTCCACAGAGGCAGGAAACTGCAAACCACCTCTGAAGGTCTCTTGCCTTGGAAACCCCTTGAGGGGTCACTGTGAGAGGGCAACCGGGATGGCGGGAGGATTGGAATCCAAGTCTTAGGAGGAAAGGCTGAAAGAGTTGGGTCTGTTTAGCCTGGGAAAGAGAAGGCTTAGAGGGGACATGGTTGCAGTCTTCAAGTATGTGCAGGGCTGTCATGTAGAAGATGGAGCAGATCTATTCTCTCTTGCTCCGGATTGCAAGACTAGGTCTAATGGGTGGAAATGACAAGGGAGTCGTTACTGGCTAAATATCAGGAGAAACTTCCTAACTGTCAGAGTGGTTGAGCAGTGGAACAGTCTGCCTCGGGAGGTGGTGGATGCTCCTTCGCTGGACGTTTCCAAGCGGAGGCTGTACAACCATCTTTCGGGTATGTTGTAGGGATGTCTTTCGGCTGTGCTCCTGCAGAGTGCAGGAGGTTGGACTAGATGACCTGCAAGGTCCCTTCCAACTCTAACATTCTACGATTCTATGATTCTATAAGTCGGCTGCAACCTGAGAGCACTTTTCAATACCGTTGGTAGCATCGTGATGCGGGTCTGAACTTAGTACACGGAGATTGTGGTGGTGTCGCGGTTAAGAGGGGTGGAGTCTGATCTGGAGAACCGGGTTCGATTCCCCCACTCCTCCACATTACACCTGCTGGGTGACCTTGGGCCCGTCACAGTTCTCTCTGAGCTGTTCTCTCTGGGACAGTTCTGGAAAGAGCTCTCTCAGCCCCACCTACCTCTCAGGCAATACTCCCTCTAAGCTGTGGAGTCTCGTGAGCAAACATTCTACTTTGTGAGCTCCTGGCATGAACGTTGTGAGCGAGCAATTTGGCTACTGCATAAATGAGTTTGCTCTGGAACCCTACTTCCTGAGCTGAGACACAAAATGTGTGAGCCGGAGGCTAAAAAACTGTGAGCTAGCTCACACTCACTCAGCTTAGAGGGAGCCCTGCAGTGCCTGTTGTGGGGAAAGAAAGGGAAGGAGATTTCACGCCACTTTGAGACTCCTTAAGGTAGGAAAAAGCAGGGTCTAAAAACCTACTCTTCTTTTTCTTCAACAGCAGCAGCCATGAGGCAGAGGGTCACTCCTGGACCAGGTCTAAAAATCTCAGGTGTTAAACTATATTGTGAAGTAGTATACTATCAACTGACAAGCCAACTGTGATCCAAGCGCCAAGAAAAATGATACCGTGCTGCAAAAATCAGAACATAGATGCTTTTTTTGAAATAATTGATCAATAACGTGTACAATCTTTTTAACACTATATAGTGCCAAAATGCAGCAAAATGCTGTATTTTGGCACTATATACTGTTAAAACAATTGTACACGTTATTGATCAATTATTTCAAAAAAGCATCTATTTTCTGATTTTTGCAGCACGGTATCATTTTCTTGTCACTTGGGTCACAGTTGATTTTCTTGTTAGTGTAATATTTCCACACTGTGTACCTTAATTTGTACGCTTTAATTAATTGACAAGCTAGCATCATCCCAGATAGCAAAAAACAACCACTACTTTGCCTCAGTGCCTCGGAAGATGGGAAAACAAATCCAAGCCAAGTGTGTCATTTACTCTACAATCCTTAAACCACTCACACTGGAAACAGGTCCACTGACTTCAGCTGGCCCTGCTATGGTAGGAAAGGTCTTGAGAACCACAACTTTAATGACCACGGTGAGAAAGAACCACCTCTCTTAAAGATGCATGTCAACAGCTTTTATCTCCTGTCTTCTTCTTGCTGGTCTTCTCAATCATGGTCTCCACAATCATGGCGGTTTCTTCATACGTCTGGATCTTGTCATCCGAGAACTTCTCAATGGATTCCACGACCTCGACCTTCTCGTAACTCATGGAACTTGGAGGGCCCAGTTCTTTGAACGTAGGGCCACCAGCTCTGTCTACATATATCCCTGCTTCGGTTTGACTAGGTAGGCCCGGCACGGGGGCTGGCTTCGGTTCCACAACGCCCGCCTCTTTTGTAGGCTCCTCCTCTCTTTCCTCGGGTTCTTTCTGCCATACAGCTTCCCCTTCCTTCTCTCGGTCTTCTGGTTTGTATTTATATCCCGTCTCTTCCTCCTTCTTGGACCCCTCCTGCGTTTCACGGGCTTCCGGTTCGCTTCGGTCACTTTCCGGGGGTTCCGGTAACTCCGGGATGGGTTCGACTCCGCTTGGCGTCCTTTCTTCAGAAACGCTGATCCCACCTCCAGAAGGAGCAGATGAAGAGCGGAAACAGGGGTCCTCGTAGCTCCCTTCCCCCGTGACCAAGACGTAACGCTTTTTAGTATAGACGTCGATTTTGGACTCGGGTCTCTTGTAGCTCCGGATTCTCTCTCTCACTATATTGCAGAGTTTATCGAAAGCTTTACTTATCTGGGCTCCGTCGGGCACGTCTTCCGCAGACCTTCCATGCTCGGCTCCTCCTTCTCTCCCTCCTTCCTTCCCCTCTTCACTTCCTACACTCAGACCTTCATACGTGAGATCTAGCTGATCTGTTTCAAAGCCTTCCAGACTTTCGCCATACGTTTTTTCGGACAAGGCGCCGTGGGTGAGGTCTCTAGGCGTGATCTCCTTCCTCCGCGTTGTCTTCTTCGGAAGGCTTCTCTGTCTCGGCTTGGCACTCGTAATGTCTTGTATGACCAAGGTGATGTCTGCAGGGAAGGGGAAAGAAAGCAACGTTACACAGCGGTGACCCGTAAGGAAAGCGATCATGGCCGGCCGTCTCTTCGAATGCTATTAACATGAATTGACCTTAGTTGGGGAACTGCTTGTTCTAGAAATGGCTGCTCCAGGTGACCATCTAACTGGATGGCTCAAAGCTTAAGCATGATTTTAAACACCAGCAGAAGTCTTCTGCCCTGACCTGGATGGCTCAGGATAGTCCAATCTCATCAGATCTCAAAAGCTAAGCAGGGTCGGCCCTGGTTAGTACTTGGATGGGAGACCACCAAGGAAGTCCAGGGTTGCTATGCAGAGGCAGGCAATGGCCAACCACCTCTGTTCATCTATTGTCCTGTCCTGGATGGCCCAGGCTGGCCTGATCTCATCACATCTCGAAAGCTAAGCAGGGTCGTTTGGAATACTGTGTGCAGTTCTGGTCACCACACCTCAAAAAGGATATTATAGCACTGGGGAAAGGGCAGAAAAGGGTAACTCGAATGATAATAGGGTTGGAACACTTTCACTATGAAGAAAGGTTAAAGCGCTTGGGGCTCTTGGAGAAACGACGGCTGAGGGGTGATGCGATCGAGGTTTACAAGATTATGCATGGGATAGAGCAGGTAGAGAAAGAGGTACTTTTCTCCCTTTCTCACAATACAAGGACTCGTGGGCACTCCATGAAATTGCTGAGCTGTCGGGTTAGAACGGATAAAAGGAAGTCCTTCTTCACCTAAAGCGTGGAATTCACTGCCACAGGAGGTGGCGGTGGCTACAAGCATGGACAGCTTCAAGAGGGAATTGGATAAACATATGGAGCAGAGGTCCTTCGGTGGCTCTTAGCCACAAGGTATAGATAGGAACTCTCAGTCTGGGGCAGGTGATGCTCTGTCTTCTTGGTGCTTTGGGGGGGCAACAGTGGGAGGGCTTCTAGTTGCCTGGCCCCACTGGTGGACCTCCTGATGGCACCTGGTATTTCTGGCCACTGTGTGACACAGAGTGTTGGACTGGATGGGCCATTGGCCTGATCCAACATTGGCTTCTCTTATGTTCTTAGGTCCTTAAGGTATAGATAGGAACTCTCGGTCTGGGGCAAGTGATGCTCTGTATTCTTGGTGCTTGGGGAGGGGGTCAACAGTGGGAGGGGTTCTGGCATCCCGGCCCCACTGGTGGACCTCCTGATGACACCTGGTATTTTTGGCCACTGTGTGACACAGAGTGTTGGACTGGATGGGCCATTGGCCTGATCCAACATTGGCTTCTCTTATGTTCTTAAGGTATAGATAGGAACTCTCGGTCTGGGGCAAGTGATGCTCTGTCATCTTGGTGCTTGGGGGGGGGGGCAACAGTGGGAGGGCTTCTAGTGTCCTGGCCCCACTGCTGGACCTCCTGATGGCCCCTGGTATTGTTGGCCACTGTGTGACACAGAGTGTTGGACTGGATGGGCCACTGGCCTGATCCAGCATTGGCTTATCTCATGTTCTTATGTTCTTAAAAGCTTTCTGTGTACACACATTTCTTCAGATCGCATGGAAGCTTGCCCTGAATAAATTGTTCTTGGTCTGAACAGTGCCACTGCCCATGAGCTAATTTGAAGGAAATGTGCTCAGGAGAGCCACTCGGCAGATATATTCTGGTTCCATCCCTGCCCCCAACCCAAGTTAGATGGAAATAACAAATAAAGCTGGTGGCCGAAGAGCTCCTGGGATTACAGATGGGCTCCAGATGACAACTATCAGTTCCCCCGGAGAAAATGGCTGCTTTGGAGGGTGGACTCTGTGCCATTAGGCCTGGCCGAGGTCCCCCCCTCCCCAGACCCCGCCCACCTCAGACTCCACCCCTCAGATCTTCAGGTATTTCCTAACCAAGAGCCGGCGACTCTATTTAAACATGTCCAGATTATTTATTGAAAACATTTATTAGCCACATTTCTACCTTGCGGGACACAAGGAGGCTTATGAAACAACAATTATTATTATTATTATTTTTAAAAACAACACATTAAAGTCTGCAAATAAATAAAAAGCGAATTAGTCAATGCAGTCCTAAATAAAACTGTCTTCGGCTCAGGCCTATAGCTATGGTGGGGCTTTTGAGGGGGCCCTTTCTTAAAGGCATGGCCCCACAAGAATGTCTCCTCAGAGGGAAGCCCTGGGCAGAGGGGAAGGGAAGAGAAGAAAAAGAGACTGGACATACCTCACCTTTCACTACCCAAAGGAGTCTCAGAGCGGTTTACAATCCCTTTCCCTTCCCCTCCCCACAACAGACACCCTGTGAGGTGGATGGGGCTGAGAGAGCTCTTTCGAGGACTGCCCTTGAGAGAACAGCTCTGAGAGAACTTGTGACTGACCCAAGGTCCCACCAGCAGCTGCATGTGGAGGAGTGGGGAATCAAACCCGGTTCTCCCAGATTGCAGTCCCTGCTCCTAAGCACTGTTTCGGAGGGTGGACTCTGTGGCATTCTATGGATTCATACCCCGCCCTTCATTTGGAGTCTCAGAGCAGCTGACAATCCCCTTTCCCTTCCCCTCCCCACAACAGACACCCTGTGAGGCAGGTGGGGCTGAGAAAGCTCTCTGGAGAACTGCCCTTGAGAGAACAGCTCTGAGAGAACTTATGACTGACCCAAGGTCACACCGGCAGCTGCATGTGGAGGAGCGGGGCATCAAACTCAGCTCTCCCAGATTAGAGTCCGTGCTCTTAACCACGACACCAAACTGGCTCCCCTTCCTGTGGCAGGAGTGCTCCAGGCTCCCCATGGGGACCGGCGGCTGGTCCGGGCTGTAGCTCTGACTGTGGCAGAGCATCCCAGGGGAGGCGTGCTCACTTCGGCTTCCCAGGCTCCTTCTGCACACCCCGTGCCTGCCAAGTGCTAGGGGGAGGGAAGACATGCAGAGGAGGGGAGAGCGGACAGTAAGTCAGGGGGCCCTGGCAAAAAGTCAGGGGGCTGGGCCCCGAGGGGCCCCGCCATGGCTACAGGCCCAGGCCTAAGTGAAAGACGAAGCTAATGTTTCCATGGATTTTAATGACATCTGGAACTCGACCCAATTACAGCAAGGTTGGTAGTTCAGCAGTTCGAGACCCGAGTGCCACGTGATGGAGTGAGCGTGCTAGGGGGAGGGAAGACATGCAGAGGAGGGGAGAGCGGACAGTAAGTCAGGGGGCCCTGGCAAAAAGTCAGGGGGCTGGGCCCCGAGGGGCCCCGCCGTGGCTACAGGCCCAGGCCTGAGTGAAAGGCGGAGCTAATGTTTCCATGAATTTTAATGACATCTGGAACTTGACCCAATTACAGCAAGGTCGGTAGTGCAGCAGTTCTAGACCAGCATGCCACGTGACGGAGCGAGCTCCCCTCTCTGGCCCCAGCTCCTGCCAACCTAGCGGTTCGAAAGCGAGAAATTGCAAGTAGATAAATAGGTACCGCTTCGGTGGGAAGGTTACAGCGTTCCATGTGCCTCGGCATCTAGTCATGCTGGCCACATGACCACGGAAATGTGTTCGGACAGCGCTGGCTCTTCGGCTTGGAAACGGAGATGAGCACTGCCCCCTAGAGTCGGATTCGACTGGCTTTTGAGGAAGATAAACCTTTACCTTTACTAGGCTGGTACCGTGCTATATTCTTCTCCCTCCCTGCATCTTCTCAGGAATTTGAATAAAATCTGCCTGTGTTATTTGGGTTTCCCTCCTCCTTCCTTTCACTTGATCGCTCTTAAGCAAAAGAGAAAGCTTGTACCCATAAGCAAGCGGACGGCTGATCCATTCACAGCAATGCCCGCTCTGTATTGGGAAATATATGGTGATTTTGGGGGTGGAGCCTGGGGAGGGCGGGGTTTGGAGAAGACAGGGACCGTGCTATATTCTTCTCCCTCCCTGCACCTTCTCAGGAATTTGAATCAAATCTGCCTGTGTTATTTGGGTTCCACCCCTCCTTTCACTTGATTGGTCTTAAGCAAAGGAGAAAGCTTGTACCCATAAGCAAGCGGACAGCTGATCCATTCACAGCAATGCCCGCTCTGTGTTGGGAAATATATGGTGATTTTGGGGGTGGAGCCTGGGGAGGGCGGGGTTTGGAGAAGACAGGGACCTCAGCAGGGTATAATGCCATAGAGCCCACCCTCCAAAGCAGCCATTTCCTCCAGGGGAACTGATCTGGAGATCAATATGTTGTCGAAGGCTTTCATGGCTGGAGTTCATTAGTTGTTGTAGATTTTCCGGGTTGTGTGGCTACGATCGGCAAAAGACAAAAGAGACCCCCTCACTTCTGCAGGAGTATACCGCATACCATGCAGTTGTGGACAGGTTTACATCGGGACCACACAGCGTAGCATTCGGACAAGAATAAAAGAACACGAAAGACGCTGCAGACTCGGCCAACCTGAAAAATCAGCAGTGGCTGAACATAGCCGAACTCAAACAGGACACAGTATTTTGTTCCAAGACAGTGAAAGGCTCGACAACACATCCAATTACCATGTCAGATTACACAGGGAAGCCAGTGAAATCCATAAACATAAACACAATGTCAACACAAGATGCTCTACATCTTACAATAGCACCAGTGTTCCCTCTAAGCTGAGTTAGGGTGAGCTAGCTCACAGTTTTTTAGCCTCCGGCTCACACATTTTTGTCTCAGCTCAGGAAGGAGGGCTCCAGAGCAAACTAATCTATGCAGCAGCCAAATCGCTCGCTCACAACTAATGCCAATCGCTCACAAAGTGAGTTTTTGCTCACAGGACTTCACCGCTTAGAGGGAACATTGAATAGCACTACAGATAAGATTAGAATTTCAACAGCCAATCCACATGCAAAAGAACCTCCTCAGGAAAGCTCCTCCATTAGCATGTTTCACAGCCTGGGGAACTCTGACAAGATAATGACTCAGCCCTACCCCACCTTCCTGAGTACATTCAAATTACCTGCCTACCATTTTTCTTCCCACCATGACACAAAGAGTACTCCATCTTTCTGTGTTATACCTCTGAGGATGCCAGTCACAGCTGCTAGTGAAACGTCAGGTCCTACAATGCGAGGACCACAGCCGTACAACCCGGAAAATCTACAACAACTAATGATCTGGAGATCAGTTGTAATAATGAGAGATCTCCAGGTGGAGGTTTGCAATCCTACCCCTTCAACCTGGTCAAGTCAGTGGTCGTCAAACACGACGCCAGTTTAGAAACAAAGGTGCCTTGGAAACCCGCCAGGCTTCCAGAGCCAAAACCCACAGGTCGTTGGTTACCTCTCCCTCTCAGAGTCGGAGTCTGCGTGGTTCTGTAACTCTGCGTGAAGAGTGTTACCGGAGTTCCGACAATTGCAGAATTCAACCTAGCACAGAGGAGGGGGAAATCGGAGGAGATATTTCCAACAAAATAATACCTTAAACCAAGACTAGTAATGATCTTTCTTCTTTACTTTAAGCCGTGACAAATGAAAGTCAAACAAAACAGGTCACTGGTCTACATGTTTTGGGAGAGCCGGCATGGTCTAGTGGTTAGAGCAGGGGTCTCTAACCTTCTGGAGCCTGTGGGCACCTTTGGAACTCTGGCAGAGGGCAGTGGTCACAAACACAAAATGGCGGCTGAGGGAGGCGGAGCCAATCAGAAAATGGCTGCCGGTGGAGGCAGAGTCAACCACAGAACGTCAGGGTTTGAGGTTATATATAACTCGAAGTAGTAAGGCTTCAGCACTTCAGGCAGAAGCCCTGTTTAACAGGATGCCTTTTAATCCACCCAGCTGATTGGATGCCCTGCTGGGGAGAAGCCTCACTTAGCCCCGCCCACTTTCTAAAAGCTCTTGGTGAGCACCAGGGAAGCTGTTGGTGGGTGCTATAACACCCGTGGGCACCACGTTGGGGACCCCTGGGTTAGAGTGTTGGATGACAATCCAGGAAACCTAGGTTCAGATCCCTATTTGGCCATGGAAGCCCGCTGGGTGACCTTGGGCCAGTCACGCACTCTGAGCCTGCTTGCTGTTGTGAGGATAAAATGGAGGGGAGGATAGTTCTGTAAGGTGCCTTGGGACCCCACTGAAGAGAAAGGTGGGGTATAAAAGCAGTAAATAATAATAATCATTATTATCATATGGTATATTGTGTAGTATAGTCAGGAGATCCTAAGATTGTCTTGCAGCCAGAAGTTCTAGCTCTTTTAGCATTATGCACCACTAGGTGGCAAGCTAGTTTTTTTGGGGCTCAGAGAGCTCTGAGAGAGCTGTGACCCACCCAAGGTCATCCAGCTGGCTTCATGTGGAGGAGTGGGGAATCAAACTCAGTACTCCAGATTTAAGTCCGTCGCTCTTAACGACTACACCACACTGGCTCTCTCAAAGAAGTGAATAATATTTGTGGATATTCACTGCGTTTCCCCCCTACACAGCATGCGCAAAGCTGCACAGCACAAAAGGGAACTTTCCTGCCTCCCTATTCCCACTGCAGTCTTCGGTGTTCCCCCAAATTGTGACCCCGTGGGTTGGTAGGCTCTTAGGAACTTCATGGAGTAGGGACAGGAGACTCAGTGAGAGGAGATGATGGGCGAAAGTGGGTCTCTTTGCAAGCAGAATGTCCGCTGTGAGCAGAGAGGGCACATCTTGGCCAACCCATTGCATCGGGCTATGTTCTGGATAAGCGAATATGATTCAGTATGGGCCATTTAAATTCTCTCCTCCCGTTGTTGGAAGAAGAAGAGATTGGATTTGTACCCTGCCCTTCACTACCCGAAGGAGTCCCAGAGCAGCTTACAATCTCCTTTCCCTTCCCCTCCCCACAACAGACACTATGTGAGCAATGCTCCCTCTGAGCTATGGAGCTCTGTGAGCAAAAAAAATCTACTTTGTGAGCTACTGTCCTTAAAGTCGTGGGTGCGCGATGTGTCTACTGCATAAATTGGTTTGCTCTGGAGCCATCCTTCCTGAGCTAAGACAAAAATGTGTGAGCCGTAGGCTAAAAAACTGTGAGCTGGCTCACACTCACTCAGCTTTGAGGGAACACTGCCTGTGAGGTAGGTGGGGCTGAGAGAGCTCTTTCGAGGACTGCTCCTGAGAGAACAGCTCCGAGAGAACTGTGACTGACCCAAAGTCACATCAGCAGCTGCGACGCCGAATGCTGCCAGAACACGTCTGAGCTTACAGCTGACCGAACTCCCCGTCGACTGCGAAAATCTGTGTGATTTAAAAAGGTATATGTTGTCCTCCCTTACCCCTATCATTGTTAGTCCCATGTGAATTCATGAGTAACTGTAAATCGCTCAGAGCCGGCAGCTCTGCAAGGATTGAGCGATCAATAAATTGAAAGATTATTATTATTATTATGTGGAGGAGTGGGGAATCAAACCCGGTTCACCCAGATTAGAGTCCACGCTCCAAACCACTACACCAAACTGGCCCTTTCAGACTGGAATGCCACAGCTTTGTACTTAAAAGTGCCTTCTCTCTCAAGCACATAACAAGTGCAGCGTTCCAGAGCAATTCAGAACAGGGCTGGCACATCTCCACGCTGGGAAAAAAGGTGGGGCATAATTGAAAGAAATAAATGAACAAGTAAATGAATAAATGTCATGGTGATCGGTCTCTTAGCCTCCCTCTAAGGTCACGTCCCCAAACTACCAGCTCCCTAACACTGCTACATATAAGGGGGCGTCTGTAAACCGTCGACTCAATTGCTACGTGAACTATTGGTTCGTAAAGTTGTCATTAAAGACACAGCAACATCCCAAATCGCCGAGCATCTCCACTCTTTTGCGGCACGCGAAACCTCTTTACCTGCTGTCCTCGTTTTCAATGATACGCTTGTAGCGCTGGAGTTCGGTCTCCAGGGACTGCTGGTAGATGGAGAGCTGGCGGCAGTCGTTGGTGTATTTCTCCAGGGTCCTTTCCGCATCTTCGATGCTCTTCCTCAGCGTCTCGATCTGCTCGTTATACAGCTGGATCTCGTCCTCGTAGCTCTCTTGGGTGTTCTTGATGGCCTGTTCCAGCACCGTTGTCTGTTTGACAAATTTTGTACTTAAAAGCGCCTTCTCTCTCAAGCACATAACAAGTGCAGCATTCTAGAGCAATTCAGAACAGGGCTGGCACATCTCCACGCTGGGAAGAAAGGTGGGGCATAATTGAAATAAATAAATGAACAAGTAAATGAATAAATATCATGGCGATCAGTCTCTGAGCCTCCTTCTAAGGTCATGTCCCCAAACTACCAGCTCCCTAACACTGCTACATATAAGGGGGCGCCTGTGAACCGTCGACTCAATTGCTACGTGAACTATTGGTTCGTAAAGTTGTCATTAAAGACACAGCAACATCCCAAATCGCCGAGCATCTCCACTCTTTTGCGGCACGCGAAACCTCTTTACCTGCTGTCCTCGTTTTCAATGATACGCTTGTAGCGCTGGAGTTCGGTCTCCAGGGACTGCTGGTAGATGGAGAGCTGGCGGCAGTCGTTGGTGTATTTCTCCAGGGTCCTTTCCGCATCTTCGATGCTCTTCCTCAGCGTCTCGATCTGCTCGTTGTACAGCTGGATCTCGTCCTCGTAGCTCTCTTGGGTGTTCTTGATGGCCTGTTCCAGCACCGTTGTCTGTTTGACAAATGCAGAGGAAAGCGACGGCTTGAAACATTTCTCACCGGGGCAACCGTACCTTCCCGGCAGGACTCTACCGGGGCAATCTGATGCAAAGTTCCTCTAGTCTGAGACTGTTGGTTTCGGGGAATTTAGACTTGAGAAACTCTGCAAAGGTTTGTGTTTGCAACTGACCAGAAAGTGCATCACTCTACTTCACCGGCAACTCGGGGCTGTTAAACAAGTGGTACTATTTGGGATGAGGGCAGCGGGAGAAAAGAGAGAGAGAGATCAAAATCTGTGTTTAACATTGACTCATTACAAAGCAAGAGAAAAATCTTTGGCCAAAAGGAAAGAGTTGTTGTGGAATATAAATTCCATGTGGGGAGCCGTGTCAGTCACTTAAAGCAGATGATGCTGATGACGATGATGATAGTAGTAGTAGTAGTAGAAGGAGAAGAAGTAGAAAAAGGAGGAGGAGGAGGAGGAGGAGGAGAAGAAGGAGGAGAAGGAGAAGGAGGAGGAGGAGGAGAAGGAGGAGGAGGAGGAGAAGGAGAAGGAGGAGGAGGAGGAGGAAGAGAAGGCGAAGGAGGAGGAGGAGGAGGAGAAGGAGAAGGAGGAGGAGATAGAAAGGATTGGATTCATACCACATCCTTCACTCAGAGTCTCAGAGCAGTTTACAAACTCCTTTCCCTTCCCTTCCCCTCCCCACAACAGACACCCTGTGAGGCAGGTGGGGTGAGAGAGTTCTTTCGAGGACTGCTCTTTCAAGGACAGCTCTGACAGAACTATGGCTTGCCCAAGGTCATCCAGCAGCTGCAAGTGGAGGAGTGGGGAATCAAACCTGGCTCTCCCAGATTAGAGACTGCACACTTAACCACAAGAAGAAGAAGAAGAGGAGGAGGAGGAGGAGGAAGCATAAGAAGAAGAAGCAGAGCCTTGTGGCAGCTGGAAGGCCAACAGAGTTATTAACACCTAACAAAAATAAGATTTTATTTATAATAATAAAAAAAAATCAAGACAGGCTATCATAAACCTTTGCCCCAGGCTGGCCTGTTCTTGGAAGCTCAGCAGGGTTATCCCTGGTTAGTATTTGGATGGGAAGCCACCAAGGAAGTCCCGGGTTGCTGGCAATGGCCAATGACATCCGTGTGTCTCTTGCCTTGAAAAAAATATGGGGTTGCCATCAGTCGGCTGCAACTAGATGGCACCTTTCACCACCGTAACAAACCTTTACGGTGCCACGTTTCTCCCTCAATGATCCATGTATTCGCAGAGCTTATATGTTAGAACGTTTTAATGTGTTGCCCTCTGTAGTACTGCAAGAGAGATTCTCAAAGGTTCCTTATGCACAGAGGTTATGTGATTGTGGTAGAAAGGAAGTAGAAGATATTGAGCATGTCCTTCTGTATTGTGATTATTATGCTGACATCCGTGTTAAGTATTTAGATCGGCTGTTAATGGATTGAATAGGCCGATAAGTCCTTTTTTTCTGTAACTGTTTCCGTAACTGTTGAAAGAGTGGCAACTTTTTTGTATCCGGCTTCTAAAAAGCGAGGTATGTGTTAACTGTATTGAGTACTCCTTATGTTTTGTATGCTTCTTAGTGCATAATGCCAATAAAGGTTGTGTTTGTCTCTCTCACATTTGGGAAATATAAATATACCACCAGGTGGCGGTATGTCACTTGAGAAACGAGGTTCATTTCCCGAAAAAAAACGGGAAATAATAAATCGGCAGGAATAAGCCATTCATTAAGACCCGCCGAAATAGCGCAACACTGACGGTAAACTCTGGAGCTCTCCAGGAACCTTCATTAGGTTGGATGTTAAAAGGGAGAGATGGTCAAGAGTCAGGCCATGATCTTAGGGCCATGATTAAAAACTCATCTTTCTGTAAGGTGAATCTTTGTTTCCCAAGGGTTGGCCTGCCACCTGGTGGCCATATTTCCTCATTGTCCCAGGAACACACAACTTCTGAAAAGTTCCGGGAGCGACTGTCTAGATTGCTCTGAAGACCTCAATGTGAACTCCGTAGATCAAAGCACACACAATCCTTTTAAATATATCTTTCTTTTCAGGGGCGTATTGTCATACTGAGATGGGACCCCTCTTTCGCTGTAAGCTGATCTATGGCAACCCCATTGGATTTTTGAGCCAAGAGTTTTGCCGTTGCCTGCCTCTGCGTAGCGACCCTGGACTTCCTTGATGGTCTCCTATCCAAGTACTAACCAGGGCCAACCCCGCTTAGCTTCTGAGATCAGAAGAAGAGGAGGAGGAGGAGGAGGAGGAGGAGGAGGAGGGCAAGGTTAGATTTATACCTCATCCTTTACTTGGAGAGCGGGTTACAGTCTCCTATCCCTTCCCCTCCCCACAACAGAGGTAGGCGGGGATGAGAGGGCTCTGAGAGAACTGCTCTTGAGAGAACAGCTCTGAGAGAACTTGTGACTGACCCAAGGTCACCCAGCTGGCTTCACGTGGAGGAGTGGAGAATCAAAACTGGGTCTCCCAGATCGGCGTCCACCTCTCTTAACCACTGCATCAAACAACGCACCACTGAAGGAAAGATTCTAAATTAAACCCTTCCCTCTTGCCCATAAAAAAAAACACTTGAGCTCCAAATCCCCCAGACTTCAAGCTTCCAGCTTCAAACACCGGAGGTAGGTCACTCGAGCCTTCAGAGTGGATTTGGCCCACGATACCTCGCTCTGCAGCTTTGCTTTCTGACCCTGGAGCTGGCCAAGGATCGTCTTGTACTCCTCCAACTGGCTTTGCAGGATCGGTATTCTCCTCTCGGTGATCAGCTTCTCCTGGGATGAAGGGAGAGGACAAGGAGATGTCACTGTGCACAAGGACCTTTGAGGGCCTGGCCATAGACTGAATATAAGAACATCAGAGAAGCCATGATGGATCAGGCCAACGGCCCCTCCAGTCCAACACTCTGTGCCACACAGTGCCCCAAACCCAGGTGCCATTAGGCAGTCCACCAGGGGGGCCAGAACTCCAGAAGCCCTCCCACCGTGGCCCCCCAAGCACCAAGAAGACAGAGTATCATTGCCCCAGACATGAGGACATAAGAGAAGCCATGATGGATCAGGCCAACGGCCCCTCCAGTCCAACACTCTGTGTCACACAGTGCTCAAAACCCAGGTGCCATTAGACAGTCCACCAGGGGGGCAGAACTCCAGAAGCCCTCCCACCGTGGCCCCCCAAGCACCAAGAAGATAGAGTATCATTGCCCCAGACATGAGGACATAAGAGAAGCCATGATGGATCAGGCCAATGGCCCCTCCAGTCCAACATGCTGTGTCACACAGTGCCCAAAACCCAGGTGTCATTAGACGGTCCACCAGTGGGGCCAGAACTCCAGAAGCCCTCCCCCCATGGCCCCCCAAGCACCAAGAAGACAGAGTATCATTGCCCCAGACATGAGAACATAAGAGAAGCCCATGTTGGATCAGGCCTATGGGCCCCTCCATTTCCAACATGCTGTGTCATACAGTGGCCAAAACCCAGGTGCCATCAGGGCCAGAACCCCTCCCACTGTGGCCCCACTAGCACCAAGAATACAGAGCATCACTGCCCCAAGATAAAAGAAGGCATGTTGGATAAGGCCAATGGCTCATCCAGTCCAATACTCTGTGTTACACAGTGGACACAATTCAGGTACCACCACAAGGTGGGGCACGAGGTGGGGCAGTGGGGCCAGAACCTCAGATGCACTCCCACCGTGCCCCCCCCCCAGCACCAAGAAGACAGAGCTTCACTGCCCCAAACATAAGAACATAAGAGAAGCCATGTTGGATCAGGCCAGTGGCCCATCCATTCCAACACTCTGTGTCACACAGTGGCCAAAAATACCAGGTGCCGTCAGGAGGTCCACCAGTGGGGCCAGAACTCCAAAAGCCCTCCCACTGTTGCCCCCTAAGCATCAAGAATACAGGGCATCCCTTGCCCCAGCATGAGAGTTCCTATCTATACCTTGTGGCTAATAGACTGTCACGGACCTCTGCTGGAAATACTGAGACACGAAGAAATACTGAGGCACCACCCCCAGTTCTTCAGGAGTTTCCCAACCTGGAGCTGGCAACACTCCCCACCCACACCCACCCTCCAGTGGCCAGGGGAGACCTGGGAACCCTAGTAGAGCCTTACATTGACATGGGTTCATACAGGTGAGCAGGGGTCATTTCCTGCAGGAGCCCACAGGAGCAGAGCTCCGGCAGTAAAAAGCCCATGGGGCAGGCACATGCAACAAGCCCCACCCTCTGCTCCCAGCAGCCCTCAGTCAGAGCAAGAAGCAGCCAGGTAAGCTGCAGAGCCCCCCCCCCCGGGCCCCCGGTCCAAAACAGTCCAGTGGCACCTTTAAGACCAAGTTTTATTCAGGTACACGCTCTCCCTCCTCTGCG